CTTCCCTAGGATTGATTTGAATATCATAATACTTTTAAAAAAAATTAATGATTATGATACTTTTACATTACAAGAGTAAAGTATTGAGAATTTTTATAATGGTAAAATATGAAGATAACAAACAGCATTCAAGCAAAAACATGAAAGGTATTCATTTCAAATTCTCCTGAACATCAATGTCTTTCTCTTGTAAAAGATACAAACATCGAGCATGAAAGCTATGACTCAGACTATGTACTGTCTTTTAATTGCATGGAGTTCAAAGAAATATACATCGAATAAATTCCAATGAAAATGAATATATACATGTCAATTTAATATTAAACGTCTTTTAATACTTGAATTGGAAGCTATCGCTTCTCTACGAGACCCGGTAGCTTAGGTGCCAGGTAGAAAAATATTTTATCTGTCGGCCGCGTAAAGTATAAGTCACATTATCCAACGATGGGGTATACGATGAGAAACCGATGCGTTTTTGATGAAAATGGCGTGGTTGCCGGCCGGGCACCACTAATGATCGGACGGTGTCTGAGGCAATTTTGCGAATCGTTGGGGTCATCGGTAGGAAATAATTCGTAGTTAAAATTCAGCGATGTCTCCAACGATGCCTCACATCGCTCCTCATCGGCAACCCATCATTAACACATCTTTCAAGGATCGGCCGGTGTATGGCCGAGCATCGTCCAATATCCGTTGAATCTGAGGTCATCGGGGGGTTGAGTGGTGTTCAATAATAACGACCGATCATCGGTCGAAAATGTTACTGAACATTGGCCCGTTTAGTCGACCGATGTACGAACGATGTTCACCAATGTATGAGTGATGTAATATAAATCGGCCGATTATCCTGGAACATTTTTATGATTAGCAATGCATCGCTATACCTTTGTAAAATCCGGCCAGCAACCACGCCACTTTTCTTTTAAAACGCATTGGTTACCCATCGTATGCACATCGCTGGGTAATGTGACTGATACTTTTAGGACTAATAGACCGATGTGGACCTATGTTGGGGCATCGTTCACACCACGGATTACTACCGATTACCACCTGTCTACGGCTACCGGCCGGGAAATGTGACCTAGGCATTAGAATCTAAACAGTCTGCTTTTACCAGGTCATATAGTTGAATTTTTCAATTAAATTTCTAGCTAGTTTAACCACTAAATATAACAGGTAGTTTAATTATTCAATTTTCAGAATTAGATACATTGCTAATTTGGTTTTAAAATAGTTTAATTATTTTCACAATTGTTATATTTTTAACAGTCTAGTAATTAAGTTTCAAAAGTGTCAATAAATAATCAATTTATATTTTTGGCATAAAACATTATATTGATGACTATTTCCTTGTATAGTCTGCCTCTTTGTACCTCAGACCGTGTTTTATGAGCACGTAATCGATACAAAGTAATGACCAATATGACGCAATCCTCACTGGACAATTTGAACCTATCATAAAGCTTTAAGGTATGTCACTCGTGAAATTTTTTAAATCAAGGTTTTATTGTGAAGTATATTTTGGATAAGTACTCATATAGATTGACTCATAATCGCAGAGAAAATAGATGGTCAGTGTTCATCTTACTGATCTACGGTACAATGAAGTTGACCTTTTTGCACTTAAAATCTAACTCTTTGGTTAGTTACTTAAACCTTAATTATATTTTATCAGATGTAACCATGGCAAAAAATAATATCTTATTTTACGTAAAATATCTAAAATAATATTCATCATTGAAAAAATCTTGCAAATTATTGCGCGTATATTACTGTGTGACCTTTTTGCACTAAAAAGTAACCTATTTTGGGGTATTAAAAATCTAATAGGCAATAAAACATTTTCGTAAATCAAGCTTTTTACGACTTAGGTGCTGATCAGTCACAAGAATCGAGTACTTTAAAATAATGAAAGAAAAAGTTCGGGTCAGGCCGGAATTAAAAATATCTTTGTTTCCCCTAACCCGACCCTGAATTCTCAAGGTGGGTCTGTAGGTAGGTAAACAATTGCATTTTAAGACAGCAGCTTTGATTCTATACATTTTAAACTTTAATAGAAAAAAACTTTATAAGTAAGTAAAGTACAAAAGAAAGCGATTCGTGGACAAAATACTAGGTAACAAACATATGATGTTTAAAGGAAAATTCATGATTAATTAATTTACAACTGTTATTTAGTTGAACTTGTGAAATATCTCACGCAAGAGTACATTTATATAGATCGAATAGATAAAGACAAGATTCTCAAATACGCAAAGACCGGACATCCGAGTATATTTTTTCAAACCTTCCATCAGCTCCCAGTGCTTATAGACAAACAATGTACTTTTTGAAGGCCATGAGATTTGCAGTGTTTCTAGAGCATTTTGCTTTAGAGTTAAGAAGTAAGTGTCTAATTTTAAGTCGCAGGTCCAAATACTAATAAGGAACGTTTAAAACAGTCTTTCAAAAGGGACCATAAAAAACTATGTCCAGTCTCGCAAAAGATGCTGGCTCAAAAAAGATACCTTACTGCTTAATGGCAAAAAAGTGCTGCGTCTAAATTTGGAGCAATGGGGAAATGTTCAAATGTCGTCCAAACAAATCTCGAAGGGATTAAAAGCAAAGAAACAACCAATCTTCGAGGGCCTAATTAAAGAAAAATACACTGGGCATATCAGGAAGCTGAATCATGATTTCAAAACTATTTGGAAAGAGTTTTTAAACAATATTTAATTTAACCAAACCGAATCTATAAATGATAAAAATGCTACATGTATATACAATGTCATGGTCACGAAGTTTAACCCATAAATAAAGGCATTAAAGAAAGAAAATCTGAATTATATTTATCAGGATGAATATGTAGACATATTTACAACAACTCCTGTGGTTCCGTAATGGCATATAGTAAACATAAGAACATAGATGAACTGGTTATTAGATCAAAACTCAAATTAAATAAAATGCATTGAAATTGAATGATGGTGGGTGGGCCCCTCATCTGCTCATTAGACGGGCCTTACATGTACCATGTATTACGTACCTTAAATTCAACAGACAGGTTTGTTTGTTGTACGTTTCCGTCCCTTTCGAAAATTTTATTCACTCACATGGAGACACCAAGACACCTCCGAAACACTCTTAATTAGTCGTGGTAAATTTTATTATCAAATTGTTTCAAGAGTGAAGAATTCTAGTTAGCTAAAGGCATAAGATTGAGACGTCGCCGTTGTTTTATTAAGAACTTTTTCTCAGTAATCACATCTTGGCGCCATTTTCTTCAACAAATCACAGTAGAACAATGTCGGCCGTCTGCTAAAAACTGATTCTGATGAAATTGTATTTTATTAAACTTAGTTAACAATAAAAAAAAATTATTGAATCTCCTTATTTAAAAAATCTTTTCAGTCGGTGCGATTTAATTGGGTCGGTCGCGTTAGGGGAAACAAAGGTATTTTTTATTTTGGCCTCAGTGATGTTAATTTTGAAATATTGGTCAAAATATTTGATTTTCAGGCAAAAAATGGCGTAAATTTTATATTGACTTATTTTAAATATCTTCATTTTTAGCAAAGTTTGTTTAAGGAAGGTGTAAAACTTTTTCTAAAAATATAAATTAAGACCTATATTAAATATTCCTAGCAATATCATAATGGAAAACATTCTACGAGTAAAAGTATGTGAGGCTAAAGTTCCAAGATATTAAATTTAATAAATGTGCAGATTTGCAGAATTATCTGCTAAATATCCTTCCACCACAAAAAATAGTCCCTCACAAATCTTGCTTCTTTGTATCTTTTTGAGCAGTGTTTTCGTTGAATGTTAAAACATTAACATTTTTGAAATTGAATATGTTATAAAAATTGAATATTGATAAATGGTTTTGAAGTAAGAGGTTCTGCGTGAAATTTTCCAAAAAGCTGAGGAGTGACCTACCTTAAATCAGTATTTAAGAATGAGTATTTGTTCCGTCAAAACACATTTTATTTCAGAATTTATAATGATTTTTAAGACTCCCTCTAAAGTGCATCCTCATTCAAGTTTTAGGGAATTTTTGTTTTGTTGGAACGATCCATGAAATAGACTAAATTTTACTCTGTACAGTATGGCGTAATTTAAAATGAATAAAATCATTTTTTTAAAATCATTATTATAGAACAAGATAGAGTGGTTGAAATCTTAACTTGCAGTCTGTATTTCTCCATATGTGTAATTACAGGCAAAATATTTTTTTTGTAACTTCATTGTTTTTGGACATTTTTCCTGGATAAAAATGGCATACTTCCTTTATAGAAAATGAATTGTTCAACCTTCCTATATTCCTTTTTGTTTATGGGAGTGTACCTTTATTATCCAAAGACAATAAAGTAATTCTAAACTAAGCATCCAAGAGTGATTATGTAACTTTTACCAGAGACAGTTTCGGTGCAAATTTATAATAAGTTTAAAGGGTCCAAAGTTCTAAAATAATGTGAAAATTTAATTAAAAATATTACTTTTAAATACAAGTCCATAACTATATCACAAGGGGCAGCTCTCTCTCATAATATGTACCTAAATCATTTAGCATGAAATTAGAATTTATGCAAACTTCGTAGTCAGTATTATTTGCCTGTCAAGCTTTTTTGTTCTCTATTAAGTTTTGTTTTGAGCTCATCTGCTTACACATCTTGGATTTGTGTCCATATCCCCTCACCCCCTCCTTTACATTTATTTACAATAACTATAATATAATTAATTTCATACATGAATTTAAGAAAAGACGCACCATCATACATATAGCACATCACTAAGTACACCTTTCTATAGACAAAAAGAATACTTAATTGGGAGAAAAGACACTTTTCTACATGTTTGCAATGGTTTTGTCATCAGTAATGCCTCTTCCATTGTTATATTTTATATATTCTATTTGAGAAGATCAAGGGAAATCCATGTCTGGATACCAGAATACAGACTGAAAACTTTGGCATTGAATATTGATTTTCATGGACTTTTTAAACGTGCATGTTTTCGCGTTTCATTATACTTAGATTTGCCAGAAAAGGTATTGACGCAGAATTTTTTCCATCGTTTTTATAATAACAAAATAGCTTTTTTCGCCCAAGTATCAAATATCTGCAACATTATCCTTCTACGTGTTTGTATTCTCTTTCGAATATAGTTCTGATGGACTCATCATTACTGATCACGGTATTTCAGTGGAAAAAATGGCATTTTCTTTGTATTTCGATTTTGGGCCCAGTAATTCTTAAGAAGAAGATTTATTTTTGTTAACCTATACATCTGAATGTAAAACCATCCAGTCCTCATATAAAGTCAAGAGATCAAAACATGTTGTTTGACTCGTGCCAATGAATATACCTGGTAAATGATAAAAAGACATTTGGTTGAGGTATTGAGCTTAGAGGAAGTACAACAACTTTTTAAAATTTCGTTGGAACTTCAATATCATTGTAAAATAAGTCCTCATAATTTTTATTGTGTATAATGCAGAAGTTCTTGATCATACCCAAGGACTTCCTGCATCATATTTAACACGACAATTAACAACTAAAACTTATTCTTATTTTCTCTCCTATTTGCAGTTGATGCAACATATTATTCTTGGAGATACAAGTGGGTTGCATTTTAATGATGTTTTCAGGATTACAGATAATATTTGTGCTGTTCATTCTTTTCCAATCATCAAACACCCAAATTACAAATGAGATAGGAGTTTGTAAAGTGTAAGTAAATTGTTTCATCAATTAGTGATTAACCAATGTTAATTGTATCATTTGATTAAAAATAATGAGAGCATAGTATTTAAACAATATGCAGTATTTTTTTTTGTAAATAAATTCTAGAGAACTATTCACGTGCTGTACTGGCTACAGAAGAAAGGAAGATGGATGTGAAGGTACATGTAATAAAGTAGTGTTTTTCTTAGAAATTTGACATCTCAAGTGAAATATTTTTTTTTAAATTATTTTATCCGTTTTTACTGCCGTGAAATCTCATCTTCTGACTAAATTATTTCACAATGTCAAGTTAGCAGCAAATTTTACATTCAATTTTATATCTGCATGCAAGTATGTTTCCTTGGAACGTTTGGTAAAAACTGTGGGTTTTATGAAATACATTGCAAGAAGAAGTGCAAGTGTCCATCATGCGATAAAATTTCCGGAGCTTGCCAGACAAGTTTCTCGGGTAAGTCTTATTTGTAGATCATGAACGTTGCAGAAGTGTTAATTTTGAAAAATAATGTGCATGATTTTTGGGTAATGTGAAAGATCAAGCATAAAGAGGCTACGTTTAATTACATGCGTGATCGTGCAGCAAGAACTGTATTCATTTTTTGTTGTGAGTTTCAAAATTTTAAAACAATTTTTTGCTTGTTATTTTGCTTTTTTCATAAAATGAAAACATGAAAAATTATTTTATGGATTATAGTTTTTCGGTCTAATGTTTATAGGTTAGTCATGTAGTATAGAAGAAAATAGTTTCTTTATTTATGTTGAATTAATATACATGTATTTATTGTTTAAGCATTATTCAGCTTTTTATATATTGCGACCTTTCTCGTGCTAGTTAATCACATATATCAGACACCCCTATCCTAAAATCATTTCATTACTTAATATTAATGTCCCATGTCCACATTGTTTGCTATCTTCTCATTGCCATTTCAAAATTATCACTTACAAGAAGGATATGGAGATAACGAACAGTATTCAATCTCCAATTCCATAAAAAAACACAAAATAGGAGCAGAGCAAACACGGACCTTTGAAACATCAGAGGTGGGATCAGGTGCCATGAAGGAGTGATGCTTTCTTTATCTCTGCTTTTTTGTCAATTGTTTACGCGGTTATATTGAATGTAAGCTTTGCTAAGCTTTAGTGTTGCAATGATATATAGACCCTAATAGGTCATCTCTATTGTTTTCAGTTTTATATATTCATATGAATTCAACCATCTATTAAAAAAACGAAATGATAAAAATGAGTGGTGTATGGTGAACTTACCGAATCTTTGATAGAATGTAAGTATGCGAAGAAAAATCAATTTATATTTTTTATTCTCAAATATCTTAAATCCAAATCAACAACAAAAGATGCTGTAGATAAAACTAAAGAAGAAAATGTTGATGATTGGATGGATGTTATTGTCTATTCCTTCTGAATGACTGGGATATGCTTCTCCATCGGGGTTATAACCTTTCATCAAATGAGGTAAAACATACAACTCCCTGAATTTACTAGAAATGTCTAATCAGTCCATGCTACATGTAATCACATATTCAGAAAATATATAATATTATACATGTATATTTATATAGGATTTCAAAAATCCACCCTCTTCAAATGTGGCACTCAAAATTTAATAGAGTAATGTTATCAAAATATTCTTTATGAATTATCATATATTAGATTAGCTTAAAACGAATTGTCTTATTATAATAGTGCATATTATTTTCAAACCTTTTCCATTTAAAGGAGATCGAGATGTTTTAGGCAATCGAACGCCTGGGTAAAAAGAAATAGTAAATACTTCTTTCCTCAAGATAGAATTTCAAAATTCAAGAGTTTTATTTGTTTCGTTTTACTTGTTTTGTCCTCAATTTCAGGCAAATTCAACAATATAAAAAAACACCAGGAATATCTTATTTTCGTTTCTGATATTTTTTTAGAAACGCAATCAGAAGTCCAAGAATCAAATGAAACATCAGTTCGAAGGTCAAATTTGGCCTCTTGGAGTAATCTTAGAGATACAAAAATATTCCAGTAGCTACAATCATATTACTTTTCAAAATGTCATGAAAGAGTTGAATCATCCTCTTCTAAGATGTTATGTTTAACAATATGCTTCTTATGTTTAAGTGGTGAAAAACTAGCATCAAACGCATGCATTGTTGACCAAGAAACTGATAACCTATCAAGCACTTCGGAAAACGTATACAGCCATCTTATGCCTAGGTCACATTTCCCGGCCGGTAGCCGTAGACCGGTGGTAATCGGTAGTAATCCGTGGTGTGAACGATGCCCTAACATCGGTCCACATCGGCCTACTAGTCCTTAAAGTATCAGTCACATTATCCAGCGATGTGCATACGATGGACAACCAATGCGTTTTATGTGAAAAATGGCGTGGTTGCCGGCCGGACTTACAAAGGTCAAGCGATGCATCGCTAATCATAAAACGATGTTCAGGGAGAATCGGCCGATGCATATTACATCGCTCATACATTGGTGAACATCGTTCGTACATCGGTCGACTACAGGCCAATGTTTGGTCGAACATCGACCGATGATCGGTCGTTATCTGTTGAACACAACTAAACTCCCCGATGACAACAGATTCAACGGATATTGGATGAAGCTCGGCCATACATCGGCCGATCCTTGAAAGATGTGTTAATGATGGGTTGCAGATGAGGAGCTATGTGAGGCATCGTTGGAGACATCGCTGAATTTTAACTACCAATTATTTCCTACCGATGACCCCACCGATTCGCAAAAAAGGACTCAGTCACCGTCCGATCACTAGTGGTGCCCGGCCGGCAACCACGCCATTTTCATCAAAAAACGCATCGGTTTCTCATCGTATACCCCATCGTTGGATAATGTGACTTATACTTTAATATGGATGATTTGCCTAATAATACATTGAATCTTAAACCAAATCAGATAGCGAGCTTGATGAAGAAATTCACACTTTGCATATGCCTCCGTAGTAACTGACATCAACTTATGACATAAATTTCAATGAAATAGCAACTTACACAACGTGTAAAATATTCTTTCCTCTGAAAATTCATTATATGCTGGAAAAAGCTCATAGAACGATGAATTTCAAAAGTGAATGACTTCTCAGATTTAGAAAACCTTTATGAATCTGAAAAATAAGCATTCATAAATGAAAAGACTTTTCTGACTCTTTAACAAGAAAATTGTCAAAGGCATTCAAAAGAGAAACATATGAAGGAAATATCCAAAATGTTTGAAAAATTGAAATACAAAATAACAAAGTTGAAATATGCTATTCAAAGGCATTTTTTTTATCGTCAAAGATCTTCGAAAAAGACAAAAAAGGAGAAACTGTTGAGGTTTAGTTTCGCTCCTTCTACGAAAATCATAAGATTAATTGGAAAAGTAATTTTAAGTACCTTGTAAAATATAATCTGAATAAGAAGCTACGATGTACAGTGTTCAACAAATGTAAATCCATTACCGTGCAATAAAAATGACATCTATGTTTAAAAATAAAAAAAATGATGTTTCAATTTAACAACAATATGACTGTTTAAAATATAAGATGTTACTTGCATTAGTTTATTAATTGTATATACACTGTAAAGGTACAGGCCCTTGCATTATCTTGCAGATGCTGTATTGATGACTCTAGTTGAATTATGGAGAGAAAAAAAAAAAACAAACCAAAATGGATATATCATAAGAAATTTAAAAAAAAAAATATGGGTAATATGAAATATGTAGTAAGAAGCGGCATCAGGTGGAGATTAATTTACTTTTTTAATCAATAATCGTTTTATTGCAGAAATGTTTATTTTTTGATAAAACTGTTCTTTTCAGTACATCATAACTCTTCTTGTGTTTTTCCTGTGACTTAATATTACTTCTACATCAAATACATGTACAACGAATCAATTTTATTATTTCTGTTTTTGTAAACGATACAAGTAGTTATAAAATAAATTGTCTCGAATATTAATCTTCATGTATCTAATTTACGTATACCTCTACTTTGATGTTGCACCTGTTTTGATTAAGATTATAAGTAAACATTTTTAAATCCAGCATCATCCGAGAGAAAACACGGTCGAATTTATCTTATGTCCTGTTTCTATATAATATACCTCTTTCATGTTTTTAAATGAATTTCATCAGATGCACCTTCTCAGAATCAAATCAAAATCAAAAAATAGCCACGTTTTTACTTTGTCAGAGTTGCGCTGACAGCTTTTTTGTAAGATTCTTTTAGCTAAATGTTAGTTACAGAGGTATTTTTCTAACATTCATTTGCATTACTTAAAAATGAGGATGATAATATATATATGGGTGTCAATTTTAAACTTTATTATATAGCAAATAAATAGTATCTAAGAAAATACTACCAAAAATCTAGAGAATTTTAGCGTTCAATATCTTGATGTTTTATTGAACGCTGAGTTTGTATTACGCGTACAAGTGTGCATGCCCGAAACATGCCGAATACGAGCGTTCAATATCGAACGCCCCGTTGTTAACAAAAGAGTCGTGTGGTCCAATTCTCAGAGCTAAATTAACGAAATGAAGTGGCATCATGGAAAGATGTGTTTATTTTTCACACAAAACGAAATTATTTATTTAAGATTTAGTACGTATAAGACTCATTAAATAAACAAATCATATCGCTCGGTAGGATCATCAGAATGATGTGATATTGAACGCTTACAGGACAGACGTTAATTTGAATACCGATACTAAAAAATCATTTAATGGACATTTTTTAGTTGGAATAATTATTATAAATTATGTGGAAATGTTTTATCTATATAATGAAGGAGTTATTGAACTTATATTGGTGAATATTGGCACTCGTTGGCTGCTCAAATGCACTCACAAGCGCCTGCATTTGAATAGCAAACGTGTACCAATATTCACCAATATTAATTCAAAAACCCTTTATTATTACATGAAATTAAAAATATATTAATAATATAAGCGTTTTTTTCTAGGACAACCCTTGAATTTCCTGCAGTATACATAAAAAGAACATACAACAGGAAGGTTGATCCTTGTATTTCTGTTCAGTGCCTTCGTATTTTTAATACATAAAAATTATGAGTTAATGCTAATCGATCATAAAGTATATAAAATGTATACTGTACCTAAGTTTTTATTATTGCTGCAGTACATTTTAATCAAATCATCAAACACTGAAGTTACATATGTTGCAGGAGTTTGTAATATGTAAGTATAACTATTCTATTCATGTTTCTTTTATACAATTATTTACTTTGTGTAATGTCATTCAATTAGAATACCACAAATTGTCAGTAAGATCTATAGCAACTATATGAACTTAAAATAATTATTTTACATTAGTCAGCCTTTTACATGCTGCGCTAACTACAAGAGAAATGGGAGTCAATGTGAAGGTAAGAAAGAAGTATATAAATACATGTAGTTACAATGTCTACATTTAGGGTTCAATAAGCATTTTCATATCATTAATAGTTGTATAACGAAAAACAAAAGTTTCGTTAATTATTTTTTATTCACAGTTTTATTACGGTTTCTTTTTTCACATATTTTATTGATTTAGTTTAGTATATCTATAGACTAAAACGATTCGAATGTTTTTCTTTTGATGATTTACGTTCATGATAGAATGTTCGCCTGGGACCTTTGGTATAAACTGTAAGATTTCCTGTCCTGATGGTTTTTATGGAAGATATTGCAAAGAGAGGTGCAATTGTTCATTATGCAACAAGATTTCCGGATACTGTCAGAATTCGAGTACTTGGGGTATATTTTTTTTAAGATTATGTTTATCAAATATAAAGTAAGTATAAAATATTGACTTAATATACATATATATATCTACAGTTGTATAAACCATAACAAACCTAAGACGTTTAACATAGATTGTGACTTTTCCTTCGTTAAGCGCTCGGCACTAGAGGTGAAAGTCACAGGTCTTTCGGATACAACCTTAAAATCGTAGGTTCCGTGTCACGGTAGGGGCTGGCACGATAAAGAAGCCTCACTGCTTATATTTCTAAAGTTGAAGCCCTTCACCGGCAATTAAACGGTAACGTATCCATATGAGTGAAAAATTCTCGACTGTGACGTTTAACAATATACAATCAATCAATCATTCTTAATAATACTTTTGAGAATTTCTAACAAATTCATAAACGTCACGAAGGTGGTAACACACGACAAACTGTTTTACAGACTTTTTACTCAATTATATATATTTTATTTCTTATTATGAAATAGATGTATGGTAACTGATATTTACTTCAGTGAGGAAAATATAACAAATCATGCGAAGTTTCATTTAGCACCTGAGAAATTAGTTGGAGAACTATATTTTTGCAAAATTTTCCCAAACATATTTATGTCAATTCAACTACCGTATAGCGAGTTTTCTTGGCGGGTGTAAAATTTGGCGTTTTGCCTACTCAAAGGTATGCCAATAATTTTGGCGTAATTTATTTTAGCGGACGCAGAGTTTCAACTCTTTGCAAATGGACTTAAAGAATAGTACTGACTATTTTAGCGATTAAAATTTTAGGGACTATGATCAAAACGCCAAAATAAGCCAAAATTAGCACCCTGCTAAAATAAACCGATATACAGTATTACGCAGGTTTTTTGTTTGTTTGTTTTGTTTTGTTTTGTTTGTTTGTTTGTTTGTTTGTTTGTTTGTTTGTTTGTTTGTTTTTGTTTTTTTTTTTTTGTAATTTTGTTTTTTTCGTTGATGTTGTTTTGCTGTACGTGTGGCGAGCTAACTACATCAATATAATCATTTTTCATGCTAAAATTTATTTTTAATTCAGTATTTTGTTAGTCGATACATGTACATGAATAATGTTTTGCATTAAAATCAGAATTGTGTGAAAATACCCATAAACAATAGAAAATATAAGTGGAAATAAGCATTCTGAACATATTATATGTTGATAAGTGAATAAACAGTTAAACAATTTACAAAAAAAATATAACACAAGAGTAGAGACCTTACACTTCCTTATTCTAGCTCTAGTTTTAAAACAGCTTTACGACACCCTTCAAGAATCAAATTAAAAAATGAAGAAAGTAAAACAAGGTCGTAAAATGACTTTTTATGTCGTTAATACGACATTCATAACTGTGTATTTTCACTATAATAAAAAATTTAAAATATAGATGATTGAATGATATGTATCGTAAAATTGATAGAGAACCCTCGTAGACCTCATAAACATGTATAATTTATTAAACACTATCTAGTAAATATGCACTATCCTTAATCAACAAAAAATATTTAAAAAGATTTAATCATTTTCACCCTTTTCTTTTAATTAATATTTTGAAGATGTAAGCAATCCTATGACAGTGAACAAGAAGGGTATAATTTGGTGGATCATAATGGTAGCTGCTTCACTAGTTGTCGGCATTCCTTTTGGAACTATCATTTGCAAGAAATGGTATTTTTTATGTAATCCGTCTTTATATATCGGGGCATTTTAATGGCACCCGACTTAGAGTAGTACAGTTAAGCTTACAATAAAATATATGTCATTTTATCGTGTGTAGAGTTTTTTTTTTTCATTTTTATTCATTTGAAATGCAAGAATTATTTTCAGATCCAGGCATGGTGTACGTTATGCATAATAAAGTAAACATTATACAATTTTTATCATGAATATTTCATCTACAAAAACAAAATATATGCTGTAACAGCTTTTATTTCTTTATGAAAATTATCTTTCGATAGTTCTGTTTATTCAATCAAGACAAAGGTTTCAGTCAATTTGACCAATCAACTCAACTGTACCTAGCCACAGCTTCTTGTGTACAGGAACCTCCCCCTTCCCCCCGATATTCAACCCCGGGGCTTATTGGAATTTTTCAAAATTCTGAAAAAAATGTCCATTTAGCCCCGGGTTTGAAAATCGGGGGGGGGGGGGGGATGGGGGCGGGGGTTCCTGTCCACAAGTAGCTGTGTACTTAGCCTCTGAATGATGTTTTTACCGACCAGTTTGTTCTGTTTTCTATTTATAATCTTTAATTGGGCAATGTGTTTATGTATAATTCGTTATACCTACATTTTATTACACAAAATGTAAGACGTGCTCTGGTATTTTCATCTATTTTTAAAATATGAAATATCTCTTCTTTACAAATGAAAATAAATATTTACTCTTTTGAAAAATCCTAAATGTTGGATTATGTAAATTATGACAATGACCAGAGAAATCGCGAACCTTTAAATGTCATTGAGATTTATTTATACACTGAACCAATTTTCGAAGTGTTCACCTAACATTTTTTTAAGTTTGAAAGAAAAAATGCATATAATAAATAATTTCTTTAATTCATGGTTTATGATGCATATTTCAGTTCGATGTTGCGTAAATTTCATGTTAGTATCTCGTCAGAATTTTAAGCAAAGTGTCAAAGAAAGAGTGTACCCTCAAAATAAAAATTCACACAAAATAATCTCTATGGAGTAAGACCACCACTCACTCTTATTATTGCAAGATATCCTTTACTGTTGGATACCATGTACCCCTGAATAGGAGATTGACCCATCTGCTGTCACACCTACTGCATAGATCTTCCAAAACCAATGAAATTGTGTAGAAGGGGGCTTTGAGATTCCTTATAAAAATCCCAAATATGTTCAATGGGAATCGAATCCGGGGATTTGACAGTGCATCATCACACAGATGCCTTTTGGTCAATATCTTTGGGCGTTTAGAACGCAAGTCCACCGCTTTAAGTATAATTCAGACTGCTTGCGGTGATATTAGACTGCTATAAGCACCGATTTCTTATTATTTTCATACGATTGAAAGTGTTTGTTTTCATGTTTCTAAGATTGTTTCAGTACAATTTAATCTGGCATGACGCTAACCCTTGGCCTCAGACGAAGATATAGGTCACTTCCGGTTTGGTTAAACTTTGTCCAAAGCTTTCAAATTGTGATAAATTGGCGATGAAAAATGACGCACAGCCCATAGAAAATTATGTTTAAATGAGATATGATACTGGTTGACATTTTTTAAAAGTAATATCAAGGACAATTAAAAATTAAAATAAAAGTGTGTAAAACGTACTGCAAGTATGATCCGGATATCAATATTCCAACTGCTCTCCCTTCTTTTTCAAAGGTCATATTGCCAATTTTATGTTTTATTTCTGAAACCAGTTTTCAAAATTTGATAATGATCACAAGAAGATGCTAATCACAGAAAAAAACATGCCGCAAAGTACGGATTTATTGTTTTTATGCCTCGTCACGGAACATTGATTTTCATTAGTGATCATTGATTTTCTTTCAACAATTGTTGCAGTGTTGGGAAGACTCATTTGTTGTAATAATTTGAAATTATAACTCCGTTCTATAAAGTTGCTTTTGAATGAATACAATTATTAGAGTGAACACTTAAAAGTTTTGTTCAGTGTATTTTTTGCGATCGCCACAAAATTAACGTCAACTTTAATTATTAAAACATTTGACTTCACGCATTTGCGAGGAAAGTTATCATTTAACTTAACTCTGCGAGATAATTCGTAACACGAGTATCATAATATACTCTGTAAGAATTACATTACAAAAAGCCTTGTGCTAGTTCCATCGATCATAAGAATGACCTTTAAAATTTATAGATCCTCGCTGAATTAATACCAAAAGTATTTAAAGAAAAATGTTCATCTTTTTTCTATAGCTCTAGAGAGAATCAACCAACTGTTTATTTCTATTCCACAAACACTCATAATCGAAATGCCTCGGCGCAAATGACTACGACGCATTGCAGAAATACTAAAAAGGAAACAAAATGGCTCTGAAAAACAACGATTTTAGAACGCTTATCTTAAAATTGTGATTCCACTCGTCCTATTACAACCAGATTAGATCAAACTTTTTTTTATATCTGACAAAGTGAAGTGAATTCACATGTTGAAGGACAAACAAATAATAAACAATTTATGCAATGAATTTTATAGGTGCATGTTTCATTAGAACATTATTGGTTATTATCCTCTAATAAATTTAATTTCCAAATAACTGTATCTCACTTCTTATTTCAATGACCGTGTGGTGGACTTTTGCCAGTAGCACTGACTATTACAGATGGCGGTTTACTTGGATATTTAAACCTGTATCATGTACTGAAGTACAGAGTTGATAATACATGTAGATAAATAAAAGGAAAACCTTTCTAGTGGTCATACATGTATGTGCTTCTTATATTGATATTTCTTCACTTAGGACAATTATGCCAGATTAAGAGTTGTTGTAAAATGTGCTTCATAAATAAACAGAAATTTCATTATTACATGTATTGGTTATTTTCCTCTAAAAAAACAAATGTCAAAATAACTGTATCTCACTTCTATTCTTAATTGCCGTTTGTGTAGTGCAACGCCGCGAAAATACAATCTGCACCAATACCAAGTTTATTGACTTGCCTAGATAGCTGAGTGGTTTAATTAAGCGCGCTGATCCTTTACTGCTAGCTATACAGAGACATTTCCGTAGGTTGAGAGTTCAATCCCGGGCTAGGGCGGAAGTGGGTATCCATATAAAAGTGCCTTTTTCTGTGGTAGGTAGAATATATAGGTAGATACTGGTCAATGACCGTAAGTGCCAAATAAAGGTCAAAATCTGAAGCCCTTCACCTGTATATGGTGACGTCTTTATCTGAGTGAAATATTCTGGAATGGGACTTAGTTGTAATACGACATACAATCAAGCAATCGTTCTGAACGTTTTACCAAAAAATAAATCGGGGAGGTTGATATATTGTATAGTTGTTGTTAAATTAAGTGGAAAAGGGTATCATATACAAATAGTGATATTTTATCCCCTGTATTCGAAAAAAATAGTCTTTGCCTAATATCCGTTGGTCTGTCTGCCTAGCTGTATGTGTGATTGTTTACATGTTTGTCCGCAAAAACTTTAACATTTCCCATAATCTTTGAATCGGAAGGGTTTTGCTTTTATGTTTTCAAGGTGTATTTCTTGTGACAAAACCTTTCTTCGCGTACCACTAAATTTGTCCTCTAGACATTGACCGTGGGTGACTCACTTTTACAAAATATATTAAAATTTTTCCTTGACCATAACTTTTAAACAGTTGGTGCTAGGAATATAATATTTCGCATGCATGGGTACATGTATTCATTGTGACAAGACTTTTCAATGGCTGTTCATATTTTTGACCTTTTGACTTTGACCTTAGAGTGTGACAAGGTTTTTAAAAACTTTAACCGTGGCCATAATTTTCAAACAGGTGGTATAAGGTCTTTCATAATTCACAGTTGTATTAATTTTGAATAGACCTTTCTCTGGATACCAACAATTTTGACGTTTTGGACTTGGTCTTCGATTGATCTTGGATTTTGATTTGTATTTGACAAACTTCAATCTTTGCCGTTAGCTGTCATACGAGGGCATCAGTGTTTCAAATAGACATCTTGTTTTCATATTCAAAGTACTTTGACGGAAAACTTAAACTGTACTTTGCTTTTTATCTTCCTTGATATTATAGTTTCTTCGATGCTGACATGATGTAATGTAAAACAATGTATTTCAGAATTCATATTAAAACCCATTCTTTCTGTTTTTACATATTTTTTAAAGAAATGATTAAATTGTTTTAATGTTTGACTTTATTTTAAACTTAAAACAACTTACTACCTTGTCCGGTTCAGATGCTTTACTACAAGATGATTGACAACAAATATTTAATGTTCATGTATTATAAATCATACTTACACAAATGCGGAAGTGAATTGTTTCTGCATAATATTAATACACAATAATAACCTACAAAAGCTTCACTTAAACTTTTCATATTTCTATTGGTGCATATCATTTATATTTCACAAATATACGAGTGGACTGAGTTTGGTGATCATAAAACAAAATGTATACTGTATTTAAGTTTGTGGTACTTATTTATATTCAGATTAAATTATCAAATACTCAAAACATCAATGGATCTGGAGTTTGTGGCGTGTAAGTTAGATATTTAGTCATTTTATAAATACCAGTTGTATTAATTGCTAAAAAACTAATAGGTTGTTAAATTGATTTAAAATCTGTAGACAAGATTTTGTCTTCTGTATACTAGGAAACCATTGAAATGTTGTGCAGGCTACAGGAGGAAAGGAGAAGAATGTGAAGGTAAACTTTCTTGTGTTTTCAATCATGCTGAAAAGTAAAGATTTCCAAAAAGTCCAAAAAATATTCATAATGTTTTGCTCAACATTATGAGATTTTATTTAATAATAGCTAAAATTATTTTGACCTTCATTTAAGTTTGATTTACTGACTTTTTTGCATTCCATTTTATATTCTTGTGCAAGATTGCTTCCCTGGAACTTTTGATACAAATTGTAAAAGTACTTGTCCCAGTGGATTTTATGGAATTCGTTGCAGCGAGAAGTGCAAGTGCTCATCATGTGACAAAATTACTGGAACTTGTCAGACAAATTACACAGGTACATTTTTTTTATGATTAATCAGATGTTAGAAAATCCAGACCAAATGTCAAACTCAAGACTATTTAGTTTTAAAAACCACATGTGGGTTTAAAACATTACAACCAAATATAATACTTTAAGGCCGATTTTATAATTAAGATCACAAATTCAATTTGTGCTTTGATACAAAAGGGTACAATTAAAGATATTCGTAATACTAGGGTTGTTTGAAAAGTTCGTGCATGATGTCAATCTTTTTTATATTACTCACTCTAAATTTTAAATAAGCAAAATATAATATGTAATTTTATATCGTTTTGTTGATGTGAAAAGTTTCAATCCATTCGATTTAACAAAAATCAATTTACAATTTTAAAATCAACATGTTTTCCCTGACAAATGAATTTATACTTCTCTATAGTTTACTATAGTGAACACTTTGACGCTGAAAATTTTGATTTACTGTAGTGAACAATTTGACCCTTTGTTTACTATCATGAACACTGATTTAATAAAGTGATAGCTTGGACACTTTGATTTACCATAGTGATAACTATGAAAACTAATCACTAAGGAAACTGATTAACAATGGAGAACTTTGATTTACTTGAGTAAAGATAAAGTCATCACGTTTTCAGAGGGTACTTAAAGTGTAGAAAAAAAAATAAAATGTCCAAGTGAGACATACGCTTTCGTAGTTTACATCATTATTCTTTTTTTATATGAACAAGTTAATTCAACCATTTACTAAACCAAATATATGGAATATAGAAACAATGTGTAAAGAAAATTTCACTGCATCTTTTAATGAACAAATACAAAGAAAATTACAGCAATTAATTGATTAACTTCTGTCATAATTCTAAAATCTCTTTTATCCAAACCAACAACAAAATATATTGAAGACGAAGATGATGATTGGACAAACGTCATTTTACTTTCTTGTGGAACAACTGGGGTCTGCTTTGCAGTCGGCGTTTTAATCTACTATCATATGAGGTAACATATCCCTAAACTCTTAAATACGTAATGAGGAAAACAAAGTTCGTGTTAATCCTATAATTTCTAAAAGGTCTTATGAAATTACAATTACTCTTCAGCGTTTTAGACAGAAAGCAGCTTAAATTCAATTCATGGTTTGATACAAAGAGAGTACAATTATTGATCACTAATATGTAGAATATTTGTCTAATGCAATATAATATCAGGACAATTAATTCTATTTGAATAAATTTTACTTGGAATTTTATTCAAAAAACCGTTTTTTTTTCTTGAGTAAAATTTTGTTCAGATCATTATTGATATTTTGTTATCTAAGGAGATCCAGACCTATTAAAGAATCAGACTGTTTTGGAGAAAAAGGTAACAGCATCTTTCCTCAAAATGAGGCATTAAAAACGAAGAGAATTTGTATTTTGTCAATTGTTGCTAGGTCATTGATACCCCCTTAAAAGAAAAATCAAACAATGATGCGTGCTACCCAAAGTGCGGAATGATTATATGTTCCACTTCTGGGACAGTGGGGTTCGGGGTAACTGTTAATTATCAGTGACTTTTACCTCTTTCTGAAACACGCAATGACAATCAAAGATAACAAAAACTTCATTTTTATTTATTTACAACTAATAAATTTATACAATTGGCACATCCAACTAAGCAAAGTATCAATGAAAAAAATATGAGATTGACAATTTGCTTAATGTGCTTTAAGCAAATATGCTTAAAAACATGAGCCTGGTAAATTATGAGCCTTAAAATAAAGAAAATATCTAAATAATTTAATTATAATAGATGGCTAATTTGATGTAGAAATAAATAGATAAATAAAAATTGGGTTTAAATGCAAAAAAATATAGAAGAACACTATGATTAGCTGCTTTCCGTCTTTAATATTTTTAGAAACACAATCAGAAGTACGAGGATCGAATGAAACATCGGTTCAACATTCGTTTTCGGCATGTGAAAGCAATCATATAGACGCAAAAAAGTCCAAGAACTCAAAACTGAATTATCTTTCAGAATGCCATGAGAGTGATGAATCATCATCTTCATCTGTAAAAGAGGTACAATTGTCCTTTGAATCATTCATTGTAAAACAAGGAGCGGATAATATATCAATAAATTCGGTATACAATCATCTTAATACTAGAGATACTTTGCCCTATAATGAATATTAATAATATAAACATGAAATAGTAATTCGAAATCAGATATCGAGCTTAATGAAGAAATTCATACAGAGGCTCTGAAGATTTAACAACCACTGATGACAATATTTACAATATTGAGTATCTATACACTGATTATGTGTAACTTCAAAGAAGTTTTTTTAAAAACCGACCTGTTCCCTAAAGCTTGAAAAAAAACCCCAAAATATTAGAGTCTGGAAACGATCAATTCGTAGCAGTTATACAGCATTGAAAATCGATTTACCAACTCGTGACAATGAATCAAATCTGTCGGATACATTTGACAATTTTTTCGGAACGAAAATGCAAGGAATTTGAACGACACTAAAACAACAAGACATAGAACATAACGTGAATTTGGATGTGTTATGGGCAGACAGATTCTCTAAGCAAACGCTCTATGAAAGAATGAATCGTTCATGGAAATTGATAAAGGAGAAAAATGTCATGTTTTAAAGCCAGAGGCAATGAAAGAAAGAAGCATGACAAACTAATACGTTTATAAATTTTAAATGAAGTTTTGGTCAATTGATTTCCAGTCATGAATCACATTTTCTAATTTGTTATTTTTCTACTTTGGAACGATTTCAAATATATATAGTTAATGGAAATGAATATTTAGATTGTTGAAACGTCGTCAATGCTTCTAAGTGTGGCATTGAAAGCTAAAAGACGTCTTTCCATGCAGATGTTTATCAATAAATTCTGCATCGTATGAACCATGGCACCTGATTCCACCTCTAATGTTTTGGAGGTCTGTGTTTGCTCTGCTCCTGTTTTGTATTGTTTTATTGACTGTTGATCTTGAATACTGTTTGTTATCTCCATATGTTTCATCCTTACAGGCTTGAAAATAACATGTTACCAAAAAATATGAATTTTCCTCATTATTTTCCATGTTCAATACTCTCGCCACTTATAGTTTAATCATTTAAATAATTATAACAGTTTTGTACTTAAATTTCAAGAATTGCAATTAATAATCAATTTATATTTTTTAATTTGAAACATTAAATTTATTCCATATTTCCTAGTAAAGACTGTTTCAATGTACTTAAGATCGTTTTTTTTACGAGCATGTAGTCATCTAAAAGTATTGACAATGTGACACATTCCTCATTAGGAAATATTTAGCCTCTCGTAATTTAAGGGCACTTTTGTGTAGTTAGACTTACATGTGCCCAGTATTTTACATAAAAAGGAAAAAAATAGAATTCTGAACAGTTTGACATACACATGTAATTTAAAGATATATCCAAATAATCTAAACATTTACAAGTATATATAGACTAAGATTAATTAATCGAAAACTGTTTTGGATGTACAATGTATTTCTCCATTCCCGAAATCAAAATGATTTTCTCTTTTATCATTACTTAATTCTCTTTAAGCAGATTTATCCTGGAACTGCTATCTATTATAATTATGAAAAATGCAGTTGTTATTTTTCAAATATCCTCCTTTACGTGATATAATTTTCTTGAAGCCCTCATAACATGTCTCAACATTGTAAAGCATGTGCATTTGTATTGCCATATTATATATATATATATATATATATATATATATATATATATATATATATATATATATATATATATATATATATATATATATATATATATATATGGGTATTAAATAACCTGTATAGAGATATGTTGACATCTGTGTAAACGTTCGTCCGTCCGTTCACCTCGCTTTATTTTCTAAGAATTAAAAGAGGTATGGATTTGATATCTTGCAAGTTCTTTTAGCTTGGTACTATGGCTTTTGTTAAACACTATAGCAACCTTTGAGCCAGACTTTTCACTGAATTTTCAAACGATTAAGACCTTTAATGTTATACTCTGTGACTAGATAAAAAGTCTTCAAAAAGAAAAAGGCAAGAAAAGAATGTCGCATGTGGAAAAAAATGCCAAGAAAGTAGAACAAATTTAAAAGAAGAAAAATGAAGATGAAGCAATAATTCAATTTAAAGTAGAACAAATGTTATCGAGAACGGTTTCAAAAAAGTAGAAAAATAAATTGCTGTGGTACAGTTTCTCTCGAGCTCCCTCTAGAGAAAGTATTTTGATAAAAGTTTATCTATATTAAGAACATTTGTATAAAAAATTTAAACCTATTAACAAGGAATTAATACACTTCTGGTTTTTCAACATTTGTCAATATCTAGATCTACTTTAATTTGTTGTTCGTAGTGACTTTGTTTTACCTTTAAACAATCCATGATACTATTTGATATGTTTTTATAAGTAGTACAATATGTAAAGATGACATTCAAGTATTTATTTTTCTATACATTTATTATGCTTGTGTACGTAATCAAAACTTTTTTTTGAAAAAAACAATTATAAAATGGAAATGAAAACAATGGGGACATCTTAATTCTGCTTCATACGAATATAAAAATAGGTCTGCTAATAACGGAGCGCAATCGGTACCCATGGGAATTCCAATAGATTGTTGGAATACCTGGTCTCCAATTTCTCTATTGTCAATCAGAAACTCAAGCATCTCTTTGATGTCAACTTCAGAGTACTTGTGTGTGCAATCATAATTATGTGTTTTAACAAAATAAATTTGCAAATGACCAATGACCAGGTAAGTAAATCTACGAGTTCCATTTCTATTGAAAAAGCAGCTATTAATGATATAAAAAAGCCTGAACTTTAATTTATCGTGATAAATGGTTGTTTATAAAATCGAAAAGTCCTTAGTTTTTAAGCTGTTGATTTTGTTAAAATCTTGTGATTCAAAATTGTTCAAAAGTTCTTTGGAATTTTTTAATATCCACATCTGATTCACACTTCTTGAATATATTGTTGAACAGTAATCTTGAAGTTTTTCCTTCCCTACTGTCAATATTTGAGGAGTAACGAAAAAGGCTTAGTTGAGCATTTGCTGGAACCCCAATGTATCTTTACTTGTAAGGAATTTTATGAAGTTTCTGATTCAAATATATATAGGGTAGTTCAAATTCATTTTGGCTCTGTGGAATATTAAAAATATTTAAAACTCACATATGATTTTAAAGAATTTCTTCCTTAGAAATGAAAGTATGAGTATAAGCAGGATTTCCACTTGTAGAATTAAATCAAAGTTCTTCTAAAATACAATTTATACATGTATAAGGAGCCTTACAAACGAAGACAATGTTGTCACCTGCTTTATCGGCAGGGACCAGTACGTATTGATCATATGATCTATCTAATGTCCAATACATAATTATTGTGATTAAAAAAACTCTGATACAGCTCAAAAGTTCATTTCAACAAAACAAATTGAGAGAAGAACAAACACAGAGCTCGAAAAATATGAGGCAATACAACGTGCAATGGAGGATTGAGTATCCCCTGTCGACCGGTTACACCCGGCGAGTGCCTTTGTGCCACAGGTGGATTGACAGGGTGGGAAGTTCTCATGAATACTGAAGTATTTCCTGCATTCCTTTTAAAAACAAGGAAGATATTTGATTGTATTTTCAATTGTTTATTGTACATTATCATTTATTTTATTCAATCTGATAATTCAATAAATATTTAAAAATACATAATGTATTTTGGATTAACAAAGTATATTTTACTGCTCTATATTCTTTTTTTTAAAAATCATCAAATACTCAACGTACAAATCTCGAACATGTAGGAGTTTGTAAACAGTAAGTTTTTTTAGCATTATTTTCTAAACACTCTTTATTACCGTTTGAGTCATTGGCTTCAAGTATTATTTTAAAAAAGAATAACGAAAATTTCTTCTACATTCTAGAAACCCATTGACGTATTGCACGAACTACAGGAGATATGGAAATCATTGTGAAGGTAAAAATAACATTGTTTTCAAACATTAATAGACTTGACGTTTAAGTTTTTAAATACTTGTTGATAAAGTCGTTTTCATAAGATAAATATAACTATTTTATTGAAGACAGAGATATTTGATTTGATTTTAAATCATTAAAATGAAAGATTTGGGTAGTTTACTTGAAAAAGACGTTATGGGTGATCTAACAAGCAAGCTCTATGATAAACGTGTTGACTCTCTAAATCTTATGCGTCAAAAAAAAAAAAAAAAAAAAAAAAAGAAGACACTTGCTGTGGCCTTCAACTCAACATTTACATATATCGACGACGTATTGTCAATGAACAATGGTAATTCCCATTCCCATGTCGATACGATGTATCCTGTTGAGCTTGAGATAAAAAGATACCACAGAGTCTGACACATCTGTTTCATACTTGGATATTTTTCTTTATCTTCATCAACTGCATATGGAGTTTGAATATCTCAGTTGATTCGATACGCATGCTCTACGTATGAACAATTTCTTAAACGAGGTAAATTTTTGACAAACAAGTTGATGAAACAAGAATATCAGCAGTCTCGTTTAAAGTCATCATTTCATAAGTTCTATGGTCGATACAATGACCTTGTCAGCTAATACAATTTATTATTGAGTCAAATGCTGACTAACGTTTTTCATACTACATATGTAATTGTCAGTCCATTGTTTATACACTGAATTGACGAAGGATTTTTTATGTTATTTTCCGATCATGACAAAAGGCACACGACGGGGGTGCTCACTTCTCCATGGCACTTGATCCCATCTCTGATGTTTCAGAGGTCCGTGTTTGCTCTGCTCCTATTTTGAATTGTTTTATTAACTTTTGATCTTAAACACTGTTTGTTATCTCCATATGTTTCATGTAATAATAACAATGTATTATTCGTATTAGAATGCTTTCATGGAACTTTTGGAGTAAACTGTAATGTCATTTGTCCCGATGGATTTTATGGAAGATTCTGCCTCAAGAAATGCAAATGCTCGTCTTGCAATAGAATTTCCTGTTCCTGCCTGAAAACAGGTTTTTGAGATAAATTTTGATTATATATTATGTACTATAAAATTCGGATCAGATCTTACGTCATAAACTCAATTTCTTTAGAAGCTTTATAACAATACCTGCGTTTGAATATGTAACAATAATCTTTAAACACGGCAGATTCAAATTTAAATAGTTAAATGGGAAAGGTCTATCTAAGTTTTTGGAACTTGTGTCCAA